AAGTATCAATACTGTAGCTTTAAGAAAGGAGGGGATTGCTGGCACTTTGAGAATCAAATGAAGTTTTAATGATTGTTAAACTTAACGAATTGCATTTAGGCAATAATCCAATAAGAATAAGTGAAAGTCATTAAACAATACAAAGTTCATCAATAAGTATTTCCTCAGAGATATATTAAATAAGATTCATTAGGTTGCTAGGAATAATCTTCAACAAGGATTTTTAGCAGATAGCAAAGTATTTGCAAAGCAAGAAACAGTTCCTAGTGATTAAGCTTGATGGGAGTTGTCCTCCATATAATTAGTAGCTTGAAGCAGAGCAGTTTTAAGCAAGCAGTAAATAGTTCATCAATAAATGAGATAGCAGAGAATAGCTGAAAGGTATACTTAAGGTTAAGGTGAGTTATCCTCCAAGAGTTCAAAGTTATAGTCCACTTGATAATTAGCAAGTATCAGTTCTCCAGTAATCCTCGTTGGCATGCAGTATCATCCATGCATTAGCTCAAAGGCTAGGACGGCTTGTCAGAGTCTATGGAGCCAGTGTGTATACCAGGAAGTCGGTCCCACATTGTCAGAGCCTCGGGAGCCGGCGAGTATGGCGGAAGTAGGTCCCACAATCACCAAGCCCCCTCTCTCTGGCTTCTTTATTCAATAGAAATTTCAATAAAAAGAAGACAGTTTCTTGTCCTATGTAACATTATCAGTCCAAATATTTAGATATATGTATCAACAGGTAGGAATGACATATATATATATACATAAAAGATAACAAATCAAGTTAGCTGGTTACCTCAAGATTTAAAACCAATATAAAGGTTTATAAGGTTTGTCAACTATTACAGTCAATTTATAATGGATTGTTCTTTTGTAAGAGCCCAATTACAAACCTTACTAGGAAAGGTTTAAACCACTATACATGCCCCCCTGAAGCTATAGTAGCATTTGAAAAGCTAAAAAAAAAGGCTTTAATTTCTGTTCCTGTTCTCAGACATCCAGATCCTACACTTCATTTTATATTGGAGGTGGATGCATCTGAATCCCCTGACAAACCTTTACACCCTTGTGGGTTCTATTCTAGAAATCTTTGCAGGCTGAGCGTAATTATGGCATAGGTAATAGAAAGTTACTAGCCATTATTGTTTAATTGAAACCATGGAGGGATCTCCTAGAAGGATCTAAAAATCCTATCATAGTTTTGAGAGGCAAAATGGCTAAATTCACAGCAGGCTACAGTGTCTCTTTTCCTATCATGGCTTACATTTCTAAATATGTATAGATCACAACCACTTAATGCTTAAACCAAGGCTTTGTCTAGGCAATTTGATTTAGTTAAAGAAGACAAGATTGAGGATAGTTTTATCATTCCTCCAAAACGAATTATAGCTACAACTATACTTTACATCTCATCTTTCTTGTTAAAACATATCAAATCAAAACAAGATGAATCCCCTGAGAATAAACCTAAAGAAAGGTTATATGTTACACCAGAAGTCAGAGAAGTCATGAGAGCAAGTCTGCAGGATGTCCTGGTTTTACCAAAACCTATGCCTTTATATCTAGGGTGTCTGGTGGGCCTCTCTTAAAGGAGACATTAGGGAATAGGTTCAAGCTTGTGATGTTTGTACAATAAGGTTGTAAACAAAGTACCATGTGGTCTGCTTCTGTGGTTACCTATACCCTCTAATCCTTGGTCTAGTACATCTATTGATTTTATTGTTGATCTTCCCCCTTCCAGTGGGCTCACAGTTATTCTTATAGTTATTGACTGATTTTACAAGATGGCTCATTTTATACCCCTTAACCTCCCCTCCTCATCAGAATTGGCAAATATTTTCTTCGGGAGGTATTTTGTCTCCGTGGTACACTGGAACAGGTTGTAACTGATAGAGGTAGTTAATTTGTTTCTCATTTTGCTCTGTGATGGGTATTGAACTGTCTTTTTTTATCCGCCTGCCTGTCTTAAGTCTCTAGAGCAATATTTCCATTGGTTCGTATTTTATTGAATTTGCTCAGAATAATGCTGTTTATGAATCCTCAACCATAGCTGTCACGGCAAGGGTACATAATTAATTATTGAACAAAAATATGTACAGTGGTTCACCTTAAGTGAAACCTGTGTACAACCTGGACAATATTAGTAACAGTAGTACATTTTAGATGTATCAAAATATAAAACATGTAACAACAGAAGTATTCATAAGGGATCCTGCAATAAAATTATACAAAATAGATATAAAGACACCCTTGTGAGGCTAAACTCCTATGTCTGAAAGTGGTTATATCATGAAAAGTAAATCTAATAATGAGCTCCACCAAACTATACTGATATAAATGTTAATAAAAAGGGCTTTAGTAAAAAAGGTCCCATGGGACTGGACGCCATCTGCCATCTGCCTGGGCTCCAGATCTAGGCTCGTAGAAAAGGCTCAAAAAGTTGATACAGACTGCTGTAAAACCGGAATCTCCTCAGCCACTGAGTGGAGAGACATGTGGGCGCACACTTCGGAGGGAATTAAGTGAGGCCGGGGAGGTGCAGGGGGCGAACAGCCCGCGGACTCTAGGTGGGGGGGTCCAGTGAAAGATTCTGCTCCTGAGTGCCTACGGCGCTATGAGAGGACAGATGGGGGCTCGGCAACCCGAGGGAGGAAATGCAGCTGAACCATGGGTGGCCCTTCTCGGATGGCTATTAAGAATTGCTTGCTTACATCTGATTGTCATGGACTGCCAGGTCTGACTGGGGTGGATGGGGGGAACCGGTTCAATACCTGTATTACCATTCTCTTACTTTCTTCCTTTTATTATTTTACCTCAGGGTGTCTTAATATGCCTGGCCGCGCGTGCACGACACAAGGCCCCTTTTTGACCGCTGGGATACACACTCACTGGTGCTTAAATGGGGACGTCACGTAGGTCCTTTCTTCCTCTTTTTTATGTCTCCCCTTGTCAGAAGGCGGGAACAATTTTGTTTTATAACATGACGTGACCAAAACTATGCTTTGCACTGTTTTATGTTATTACTGTTTAGCCAAATATGCTTAATTATGCTTTGAACCAGTATACAGGTAGTGATGGACTGCACTGCCCAAATAAACACAGGAAACCTGTGCCATTATTGGCTACTATAGTTTATATAATGTTTCAATATTAAACTGACGTTTATACGGATTTAGGATAAATGTTTGGACGTTGACCTAGACTAGGTAGGCTAGATATGCTAATTAGGCACCTTATGCAGAAATAGGCTTTCTGTTTCTATGCCTAAATGTACTGTCTTATTATTATAAACCATTATCGCCTAGCAAACGCACCATAATTGGACTTTGACCTAAAGTGACAGAGTGCGACGGAACTTATAACTTCATCACTACCAGAACCACCTGACATACATGGCTATCACATCAGTGTAATGCCTTGACACTGTTGTGATATTCAGACTTAAATTAATATAACGTTTTGAGACTGGCATACATGGAGACATACTTAGACTAAACCGTGGGCTGCAGGCTTATGTTATTTTCTGTTATGTAGTTAAATAATATGCTATACCATGAAACTGTACAGCTACATATTATCCTTGATGCACATATTTGCCTTCACTGATGTATGTAAAAATTACGCAAATAAACCATGAATGAAAAAAAAATTAATTACCAGAAAATAGCAATAGTTAGTAGATGCTCTTAAAATTAGAGAATAATTACCAAGTAACAATTTCACTATTAGAAGTATGAGGGGGGCGGAGTCTGACCGCCGAACGGAGCAGAAGCAGGGGACACGAGCTCCTGCTCGACGGGCAGGAAAAGCGGCACAAACGAGGGCTAAATAGCCCAAAGACCTGCCAGGGTGCATCACCCACGTCGGGGGTGCACCCCTGAACCAAACGAGATTTTTTTTTTTTTTTTTTGGAGCCCGTAGGAGCTATAAAAGCGGGACACCAAGCGCGGCCTACAGAAGCCGGAGCCGGGGAGAGGCGGCCGCTCTCTCTGACACCGGACCCCCTAAGCAACCAAGCAGGTCTCCAACCCCCCCCCTTTGGACCAGTGGGGGATATCCCGGTCCCCAGTAGACAGACAGACCAGGCAGGCTGATCAGCCCCTTGGCTACATCGCCGGCAGGAACGCTGGACCACCGAGGTACACACAACATGGCCGCCAAGCAGAAGCCAAGATTGGCGGGCACACACGCCACACCACCAGCTGGCTGCATGGAGGGCTTTGACAGGCTCTGCAAGGGCCTCTGGACACTACTTCGCCACCGCGGAGTGTCCTGCAACCAGGCAGCCAGAACGATCGCCTTATGGATCCGCCCTGTGACACGCAGACGCCATTACAGATACCCACTCCAAGCCAACAGGCCATCTAAACTGCCACGAAGGCGCCAAAAACCGTCATGGCGGACCATAGTACCAGGCTGCCGGAACCCACGCACTCGCACCCATGCACACAGCAGCTGGATCAACGAGCCATCCCTGCAGCCACACCACCTACTCACAACTCTACGCCCGGAGAAGATGGCTGAGCACCACGTGGCTGTACAGAAGGACGCCTCACACAGAAACACCACAGATGGAACTAAACCAGGGGGCCCCACTGAGCAGCGAGCTTTATATGGACATAGCAAGTATCTGCCACCGATGCCCGTAACAGGCATAGGCTGAGGGACTCCTGGCCTGCATAACTAAGCCCCCAGCTTGGGCCCAAAGCAGTAATACATACACCCCCCATCACTACGACCACATGCTAAATAGTATGCGTTGGCACCCTGTGCCTTTATAAATCCCACTTTAGCAATAGCAGATCACCTGCCAGGCCACCCAGTGGAACCTCATTTCATGTAGATAGGGAGGCAGGGACATGTCCTGTTTGCCTTTACAATCTAAGCATTAGCTGCTGACTCCACCTTGTCTACAATGTGTTCTAGAGATCATATAAATACAATGTGTGACTAATCTCTAACAGTTTCATACCTTATATTTTGCAATGTGCTACCCATTAAGCGACTATTACCTGCTCCTCCTATTGCACAGATAGATCAAACATGTTTCTATGCCGTATGCATATCACTTCTGTTTTATAATATATAAAAATGTGCAGACATATTACTTGCCATGTTTGAAAATGTATGATTTTGCGTGTAACTGCTGTTGTGGCAACACACGCTCGTTGTTAAAACATGCACAACAAAAATAAAGAAAAAAAAAAAAAATGAGGAGAGAGGAAATACAGATTCTATTGCCCGTAAATAGCAGGCAAGGGTTAAACTGGAAAAAGCTTCTCTCCTTTCAAAACTAACTTAACAGGCATAGGAGAATAAAGTACAAAAAATAAATAATAAATAATCAAACCAACAGTTACAAACAGTGATTAAAATAAACAGTTAAGTGCCCCCGCCCCCCCAAAAAATCTAGAGTGCCAGACGCCCATTTCGGTGCAGAAGTACATACACCTTCGTCAGGGTCGAACGATCAAATGGCCCAAATCCCTCTTATAACAAGATATCCCATGTGGGTATCCTCCGTATCAGCCAATTATATTTTTACTGCTCAATTGAGAGGTGTGGTTAAAATATTGTGGTAATGTGCAGTATGAATGCCCAGATAATGTTATGGTCCAATCGTATCCTTGTCGAGGGAGTGTTTCACTCCACAATGCAGTCAAGGAGTGTGTGCGCTTCTGGGTGGACAGCCCAGTACCGTGACGTCCACACCAATGTGTACTCCAATGAGATGTAGTTGGGAGGACTCTCGTTCTCTGCCTGAGTGCCAATAGTCTTGATATCGTGGAAGCAAAAATCAATATCCCAATGTAGATGTCTCTCATATACATCACAGGGCTGCAAGCAGTGCTCAAATCATGGAGCAAAACTATATGCCAATCTAAAGATAGATTCATATGCTGTGATCGAGTCAAAGTGCAGCTCAAGAATATTACTGACGGGATATAAGATACCATTGAGTGATGTTTAATCCATGTAATGAAATAGTGTGCCGATCTGGGCAGGCTGTCTGCTGATCTTAAGATGCCTTCATAAGCCGCAGTTACATCTAACTGTGGTCCAAAGATTATAACTGAATGTGGAGCCCCACTGTGTACAAGTAAGTATTTTTATATCACTCCATTACAACAGTAAATATCCACATCCACCAGAGTTCCAGATATACAGTGGGCAAACCATAGAAGGAAAGAGGGAAACATAATCAATAAGGTACCATTCTTACAATCAGTTCATAGACATCTAAATCATCCAAACCTATAACGGAGTACCTAAAATCAACAAGTGAAGATCAATGTCTCTCATATGCATCTTCGGGCCGCAAACAGTGTTCAAATCACAGAGCAAACTGTGCCAATCCAAAGATAGATGCATGTACCGTAATAAAGTCAAAATGCGATTCAAAAATCATAATAATAATGACGGAATATGGAATCCTATTGAGTAATAGTCAGTCCTTACATTTAAATACTATGCCAGTCCGGAGAGACTGTCTGTTGGTCTTAAGATGTATTCATATGCCACAATCACATCAAGCTATGGTTCAATGATTATAGCAGGATGTGTGGCCATACTGTGAAATGGTTATTATTCTTATTCTACAACAGTAAATATCCACATCCACCACAGTTCCAGCTATAGTGTGGACAAACCATAAAGGGAAAGGGGCAAACATAATCAATAAGGTACCAATCCTGCAAAGAGTTCATAGACTTTTAGATCATCTAAATCTATAACGGAGTACCAAAAATTATTGTTTATTCTCCAGAATATTTGAGAATCAAGGGCAGTGATGAGTAAACACTAGAGAGATAAATAGTACAGGATGTTCCATATTATTATTTAACCTATATGATAGTCGAAAATATAGATATGTCTCAACTAGAGCCATTCATTTAACTAGGTCTTAGGTATAGATTGGAAATATAAACCTACTTCAGAAGTAACGTCTGTGGATACTGTAAATGTGCAAGTTAAAACTGTACACTATAATTATCTGATATGTTATTAATGATGTCCTGATTGTTAGATATTTATGGATAACTGCTAAATTTGTACGCAAAAGTAGGCACCTGAATAGATCCCACCATGTGACAATAATGTGATAAACAAATAAGCATACAAATACTATTTATGTGTTACTGACAGGGCAAAATAAAACTTAAGACAGCTAAAACTGTTACTTACAATATGTACAGCGTAATCTTACTTACAGTCATAATAAGGCTTAATTAATTTTATTTTGAGGTAAATGATGTATATGAAAAGCTCTTATTTAAACCAAATGGTGATAATGTTTTGAGCTTATAAATCCAAAATCTCTCTCTTTGGAGTAGCTTCTTGTTCAGATCACCTCTTCTCTGGGACCAAGTGTCACTTTTTCAATGCCACAGAAACGGAGTCCATCTATTCAGATAACTTTTGCTTATAAACTGGGACTTCAGACTATATGTAAGTGCTGCTTCTAAGTGTGTAGTTGGAGATATTCTGGAGTGTTTTACAGAAGCTTCAACTGTCTAAGATTTTGCTAAGAGTTTTCTTTTTTACTGTTACAGGTAAGATTCATCTATAGGAAAAGGTTACTGATTGCACAAGGTTTGCTTTCCTGTTTGTAATTGGTAAGGCATTTGATTAGCAAGGTGCTTGCTATTAATTGATTGTTGGTTAATTAGCGATTGTTTGCAAATAAGCATAGGCCTACCCAGGTGTTAAACATTTCTAGTGGGTGGTAATTTTAGGAGTTATATAAGGGTTGTTTTCATTAGCTTGGCTAATATAGCTTGGTTGCTTCATCTAAGTGCTGCTTCTATGTGTGTGATTGGAGATATTCTGGGGAGTAACTGGAGGTAATCTGAGGTATACAGGAGGACACAAAAAGATTAGTTTGATTTAAATTATTCACCTCATTAAAATGGAAGACTTAGTTCAGTGTAATAATTGTTTCACATTCCACTTTTTGGAGATTTGGATGATGTCTAATCTGTAGACAGTTCTCTGTATTGCAGCAGGAGATTTTATTTTTGAAGTCTGAGATTTGTAAATTATCTGGTAAAAAAAAGGCTGGAACTGCTGCAAAGTCACTGCCGCAGAGACATACTAGAAATGGCAGATGGATTAATGTACGATCTGGTACACTTAGAGTTGTGGATAAAAGGAATATTGCACAGTCTGTTGCTCTACGTAATTCATTTTCTGCACTTTCAGAGGGTAATGGTGCTATGGAGACATTCTCAAGCACCAGGTGTAGTGGTGTTATGGAGACAGGCACTGAGGGTAGTGGTGTTGTGGAGACAGGCTCAGGCACCGAGGGTAGTGGTGTTGTGGAGACAGGCTCAGGCACCGAGGGTAGTGATGTTGTGGAGACAGGCTTGGAGACTATGGTGAGGCCTAATAGAAAGCAGTTGTTGGGGGATCCTATCTTAAGAGGTGTGGAGATGGACAATGGTGGTCTTGTGAGATGTCTTCCTGGAGCTACTGCTCACAGAGACAGGAGTTGTATTTGGAATATTGTTAAGCGAGCAAAGCTGGAAGGGGAATTGGATGTACTTGTCCATCTAGGGACAAATGACTTGGCTTGCAATGAGGTTTCAGACGTAAAGGAAGTTTTTAGTGTTTTTGCCAATGATATACGGCAGGTTGCTACCACACTGTCATTCGCTGAAGTTCTGCCTGTGAATAACACTCAGAACGACAGGCGGATGCGTATTAGGGACTTTAACTTGTGGCTTGGTGAATGGTGTCTGGAGCAAAGATTTAGCTTCATTTCTCATGATAGCTCTGTTTGGAATGGAAATAAACTGTACAAAAAAGATGGTTTGCATCTTTCTCAAAAGGGAACAAATATTCTCAGTGAGCAGTTCAGACGTTTAGGATGTATTTAAACTAGGAGGGGAGGCAAAAGGGTGATAAAACATCAATCCAATTGCCCCCCCTCAAAACAAGGACAGAAAATAACTGTAACCAGTGTGTTAAAAAATGATAAGCTTAGAGTCATGTCTACAAATGATTGCAGTTTAGGGAATAAGATCCATGAACTTGTGGCAATAATGGCAACTGATAATGTAGATTTAGTTGCTGTTACTGAGCCATGGTATAATGAGAAAAATGACTTCAACATAGCAATACCAGAGTATTGGCAAGAAAGGGGAAGTGGTGGCCCTGTATGTGAAGGATAGCATAAAATCTAGCCTCATAAAAGTTAGTGAGGCGAACATAGAGTCTGTTTGGGTTACGTTAGAATTTGGTAATCACACAGTAACTCATGTAGGTGTGATTTATAGGGCCCCAGGACAAACAGAAGAGTTAGATAATCTACTAGTTGAGGAAATAGCTAAAATGACAATGAAGGGGGAATTTATCATCATGGGTGACTTTAATCTTCCTAATGTGAATTGGAAAACCAAAACAGCTGCTTGTGCCAGGGGCACACATATTCTAAACTCCCTACTGGGATTGTCTCTAAAACAAGTCATTGAGGAGCCAACTCGTAAGGAGGCCATACTAGATTTAGTGTTAACAAATGGAGATTTGGTATCAGATATTACTGTAGGTGAAAGTTTAGGATCCAGTAATCATCAGTCAGTGTGGTTTAATATAAGAACAGTGACTGAGTCACACCACACAAAAACAAAAGTTTTAGACTTTAAACCCTTAAGGACACATGACATGTGTGACAGGTCATGATTCCCTTTTATTCCAGAAGTTTGGTCCTTAAGGGGTTAAAAAACACTTTTCTAAAATTAGAATATGTGTAAAGGAATCATTATCAGACTGGAGCAATTTAAATGCAGTCCAAGAGAAATGGGATTATTTAAAAGTTGCACTGCTGAAGGCAACAAAAAATTGCATGTCAGTAAAAGCAAGAAATTCAAGAAACCACTGCGGTACACCACAGATGTGGCCAAAATAGTAAAAAATAAAAAGTTAGCATTTAGTAATTATAAAAATAACCAGAGTGAGGAAGACAGAATGATCTAAAAGATAAGGCAGAAAGAGGCTAAGCCAGTTATAAGAGCTTCCAAATCACACACACAAGAGAAAATGGCACAGTCAGTAAAAAAAGATTTTTAGATACAAAAATGAGAAAAGGAAAGTTAAACAAGGATTAGTTAGATTAAAAAAAAATAGAAGGAAGGTATGTAGAAGAGGATAAAGGTCTAGCTGACTGCCTCAATGAATATTTTTGTTCAGTTTTTACAGATGAAAATGAAGGAGAGGGGCCTCAGTTAGGAAAAGGGACAAATGAGTCATTTGTTACATGTGAGTTTACAGAGGAAGAGGTTCTATTTCAACTGTCAAAAGTAAAGACAAATAAGTCAATGGGACCTGATGGAATACACCCAAAGTTATTAAAAGAGCTAAGTGGTGTACTAGCAAAACATTAACATATTTATTTAACCAATCATTGTTAACAGGAGAAGTCCCAGAAGATTGGAAGCTAGCGAATATTGTGACAATTTACAAGAAAGGTAGTAGGGAGGAGTCAGGCAACTATAGGCCAGTAAACCTTACTTTAGTAGTAGGGAAAGTAATGTAAACCATGTTAAAGGATTGGCTTGTTTAACATCTAAAAACACATGGATTTCAAGATTAGAGACAACATGGGTTTACTTCCGGGAGATCATGCCAAACTAATCTTATTGATTTTTTTTGATTGCGTAACTAAAATAATAGATCAGAGTGGTTCAGTAGACATTGCTTACCTAGATTTCAGTAAGGCTTTTGACACTGTTGCACATAGAAGGCTTACCAATAAACTGCAATCTTTAAATTTGGATTCCAGTATTGTTTAATGGGTAAGGCAGTGGCCGAGTGACAGACAACAGAGGCTTGCAGTCAATGGAGTATATTCGAAGCATGACCTTGTCACCAGTGTGGTACCTCAGGGATCTGCACTTGGACCCATTCTCTTTAATATTTTTATTAGTGATATTGCAGAAGGTATTGATGGTAAGGTATGTCTTTTTGCTGATGATACTAAGATATGTAACAGGGTTGATGTTCCAGGAGGAATAAGCCAAATGGTAAATTACCTCAACTGCCCTGATGCCTCCCGTCTGCTCTCTGTAACCTCCTCCTTTGGCCTCACACAGTTGTCAACTTCAGCAACTCATACAGCAAGAAACACTCTTGACCTCATCTTCACCAATCTCTGTACCACCTCTAATCTCTCTACTGTTCCATTTCCTTCGTCTGACCACATCTACTAACATTTAACATCAGCATACCCCATACCAAAATTTCACCACTCTCAACTCCCCAATCTCGCAGAAACCTCAACTGCCTTGATCTCCAGCAGTTCACCACCAAACTCAATACTCTCCTTTTACCCATTTCAAATCTAACTTGCCCTAACTCAGCTACCTCACTCTACAACTCAACTCTCTCCTCTCAACTCAACATCAAGGCACCTCCTACAATTAAACGCAGCAAGCACCCCCAATTACAACCCTGGCACACCAAGCTGACCCATTACCTCCAAAAATGTTCTAGAGCTGCTGAATGCTGCTGGAGAAAGTCTCACTTTGCATCTGACTTCCTCCACTCTAAATTTATGCTGCGCTCCTACAGCCTGGCTCTCTCTGCTGCAAAAGTAAATTACTTTAACACCCTCATAAGTGCACTGTCCCATCAACCCAAACACCTATTTCACACTTTTGATGCTCTTCTTTGCCCTTTTAATTCACCTCCTTCTACCACTTTGTCCGCCACAGACTTTGCAGAGATCCTCTCCTGATCTCTCTCCACCCATCTTGACTTGTGTCTCTGACTGCCTCTCTTCGATTTCCAAATGGATGGCTGCTCACTTCCTTCCAAAACAGAACTTCTGGTCTTTCCTCCCTCAAGTGTTACTACTCCCGTGTGTCTCCCTCCAAGTCAACGGCACTACCATGACCTCTACCTCGCAGGCTCACTGCCTGAGTGTTCTTTTTGACTCCAACCTCTCCTTCACCCCTCATGTCCAATCAATCGTCAAATCCTGTCGCTTCCATCTCAAAAAAATAGCGCTCATCCGCCCCTATTTAACCCCGGATACGGCTAAGGTGCTGGTCCATGCTCTTGTTCTCTCTCGCCTGGACTACTGCAATACTCTTCTCAGTGGTCTTACGTGTTCCCAGATTGCACCGCTGCAATCTATAATGAATGCGGCAGCAAGGCTCATTTTCCTGTCCGCCCGCACCTCTCACGCCTCCCCGCTCTGTCAGTCCCTGCATTGGCTTCCAGTTAGATATAGGGCTCAATTTAAAATTCTGGTGCTTGCTTACAAGTCCCTACATAATGCTGCTCCAACCTACCTATCCTCCCTAATACACAAGTATGTCCCGTCGAGACCCCTACGCTCTGCCAAAGACCTATGTATATCCTCTGTCCGTACTCCCACCTCTAACGCTCACCTAGGGCTGCACCTCTTCTGTGGAACTTCCTTCCCTTCTCCGTAAGAATTTCACCCAGTCTCCACTCATTCAAAAAATCATTGAAAACGCACTTCTTCAAGAAAGCATATCAATTAAACTGTTAGCAGGTTTTCATCCCCCACCCTCCATGACTCCTCTCCTGCAACTGTCAAAAGTTACCTACTAAGCCCTCAATTAACTACTTTTACCCTCTGTGTCACTCTACCCCACTCCCTCTAGACTGTAAGCTCATGGAGCAGGCCCTCCACCCCTTTGTTCCTGTACGTCCAGTTGTCTGGTTACAATTACATGTATGTTAGTCCACCCATTGTACAGCGCTACGGAATTTGATGGTGCTATATAAATAATAAAATAATATTAATAATAAGAATAGGTAAACTAGAAAATTAGTCAGAGTTGTAGCAACTGACATTTAATGTGGATAAGTGCAAGATAATGCTTCTTGTATGTAAAAACCCAAGGGCAGAGCACAGACTATTTGATAGAGTCCTAACCTCAACATCTGTAAAGGAGGAGACTATATTAAAAAGAAGAAAAACTACCACAACAAGAGGACATAGTCCTAAATTTGAGGGGCAAAGGTTTAACAATAATATCAGGAAGTATTGCTTTACTCAGAGTGTAGTGGATGCATGGAATAGCCTTCCAGCGGAAGTGGTAGAGGTTAACACAGTAAAGGAGTTTAAGCATGCATGGGATAGGCATAAAGTTATCCTAACTATAAGATAAGGCCAGGCACTTAAGAAAGTATTTTAAAAAATTGGGCAGACTAGATGGGCCGAATGGTTCTTATCTGCCGTCACATTCTATGTTTCAGTGTCATTGCTTTCTGTTTGAACTCCTCTACAGTGGAACAATGACAAAGATACTGTCCCACTGTAATCCCTCTCTTAAGGGTTGGTGGATGATAACTGTCCCAGTTTAGGAGACTGTTGGTAGATGTAGGTTTCCGTAAGAGTGTGGTTGAAAAGTTCCCCCCAGTCTCAATGTTAATGGTGATGTCCAGGAAATAAATGTCATTCCCACCAATTTCTGAAGTCAGTCTCAAATTAATGTTGTTACAGTTGAGTATTTCAACAAATTAATTTAAAAGTGCTTCAGTGTTCATCCAGACTATAAGGATATCATCAATATAACTTCTCCATAATTTTACGTACTTTGCATATCCCTCTAGTATGGTATCGAACACTGTGGTTTTCTCCCATCAACCCAGGTGGAGGTTGGCATATGAAGGGGCACAGGCCATCCCCATAGTTGTCCCTCTCAACTGGTGGTAGTACTTCTCCTAAAAGAGGAATTAATTATGAGTGAGAATTAAAGGCATTAATCCCTGGACAAATTGGTTGTGTCTTGACAGTGATGCTGGTCGTGTATCAAGGAAGGATTTCAAATGATTAAGTCCTACTGTGTGTGGAATGGAGCTATACAAGCCCTCTACATGCAGGCTGCACGGAATAGCATTATTAGGTACTAGTATACCATCTAGAACATTCAATGCTTGTTTTGTGTCCCTCAAAGATTATGGAAGTTTAGTAATGGTCTCTGTAACGGCACCCCGGGTATAGAAGGGGTTAACGCCATCAAAGATGTTCACTTCCCGAATGTAAAGGCAGCTACCGAACACTCCAAACAGCTGAACAGGAAAACACACGAATAATCGCCCCCAAGTACGAGACGAGGCTCTGTATTGAGGGTCAAGCAGGAATCTGTTTAATCTGGGCTACCTGCCCGCCTTTTATGCAGGTCTCCCACCAGATGGACACTCCCATAGGGGACCTGGTGGAAAACTGTGACAAAAATGTTACATTGACCAATCATAACAGTGCAGGGATAAATACTTCCCTTTGAACAGTATGGGACCCTCCTCTCTATCCTGGAGATATTTGGGAAGTAACTCAATTATCTCCGAGGATAGAGAATAAACTCCATTTTACAAGGCATCATAAAAATACATAAAAAGATATAATTCTAAAACTCCCGAACAGAATCCCCACATTCAACATATCCCCAGATAGCTTGGATCTGAGCGCACAATATTACTGAATAGCGCTCAGATCCTATACACACAGTTCATTTGCAAAAGTCTTTCACATGGTCTTTCGTTATACGAATGGGCTCCATGGGATAGCTACCTGGGGTGGCTCTATTCACATAGAAATGTACCGAACGGTACGGTGTTCATATGAACGGATGAACACATGAAGGAAGGTCGGCGGCTTTAGCGGTGTTCTTTTGAAAATAGTGTCCATTTTTAGTTCCATAGATTCGTCGACGAACACCGCTGGGCGTTCGCATGTTCAAGATGGCCGCCGCCACATGTTCATTCATATGAACGACGACCACCCAGCCGACCATTCGACAACAGGAAGTGTCTGCGGTTAACCACAATGTTCTAATGAGGCCAAGAGGTTAACAAGCAGCACACTTCCCTGCTGGGTGGCCGGCCGGCCGTTCGGTAGTTCTTTCGACAAAATGGGAATAAAGCATAGGGACTGTACGGACAGGGCAATTACCGAACAAACAGACAAACCAGCATGAAGTAAGAGTAATTCAAAGACAGAGAGGTCTGTCACAGTCTATCCCAGGATATAATCCACATAAATACTAATATTTTGAGTTAGGTTTGACCTACCGGATACTATTGGCCTACCAGTTAGTACAGACTGCTTTTTGTGTAGTGCATAGAAGGTTGCTACCTTGGGATTTCTTACGAACATAAAATTATATTCCTCTTTTGAAATCAGCGATGAAGATAATGCTTCATCAAGGAGGGACTTGAGCTCCAACAAATATTTTCTAGTTGGGTCTCCACTTAAAACTTCATATGTGTTTTGGTCCCTAATAAGTCATTGTGCCATCCCAATGTATTCAATTCTATCCATGATAACCACATTAAACCCCTTTATCAGAAGGTTTGATAACCAACGTATCCATCTCCTTAATTTTTTTAAGAGATTTTTGTTCTCTAGTGGTAATGTTGCTACTTGGTTGGAGAGTCAATCCGCTCTTGTTGATTTTTTTCAATCTTATTACACGTAAGTTCGACAAAAAGGTCTATGTACTGAAAGATGAGGGGTAAATTCACTCTTTTTTCCTAAGTTTTGTGTATGGTGCTTGTAAATTGTCAGGAGTATTATTGGTATCAAGAGATCAACCACAGTTTCTAACAGAGCAATGTACAAGGACTGCAGGCCTAAACTTTTGGCTCTTTTTTCATCTCTTATTCCATGGACAAAGGATGGACAGCTACAGGGACAAAGGACAAACCCTTCCGCAAGACCTGTGTTTCAGATAGTGTGATATCATGAAAGGAAAGAGTAATGATGTGATTCTCATTCTTCTCTAATATCTCTTTTGTCTGTATTGTTGTGGTGGTCTCGAATTGCTCCATGTACGGGGAACTACATTATCCTCCATGTTTGGATGCTCTAAAAAAGATATCCCTCGTTTAAGTATACTTCTGGTATTATGTACGTGAGAAGTAGAGGTTCCTTCTCTATTGGAATCCAACTCTGAGCCGCCAGTCTCATAGTCAGATGTACATAGCGGCTCAGAGAAGCTTTTTCTGGTCCTCCTATTTCTTTTATAGACATTGCCACTTTTAAAATGTTTGCAGTTTCTGATAAATTTATAATGTTTTTTTGTGTTATTCTTCAATTTAGTCTCCAGTGGTTCAAAGTTAGACTCATTTTTAAACTTTTCTATCTGAGTAATTTAATCATCAACCTCTTTATTTACCTTTCAAGTCTCTTGGTTTCGAATTTGCATAAAATCTCCATGTACTTCCTTAAATAGTTCCCTGCTGCCTCTTTCCACCTATAATAAACTCCTCTTCCTCAATGTGTGTGGCCAGAATATTTTGGACTTTGAGGCCTCTGGGTATTAGGTGTTTTTTGAGGTCATTTTCTAAAGAAGCTATTTCCCACCCAGTTTTGATGTAGTAAAACCTAACTTTTAATAAGTAGTTTAAAAAATTGCACACAACTACTTATTAAAAGTTAGGTTTTACTACGTTAAGGGTTGCTTACTATACATTTGAAGCCCGCAGGACTGTTATATTGTATCCTCTGGGCTTCTCTGTATCCTTTTTTTCCTTTTTTTGTAATTGTGATGTACTAGGGGTTACCCCCCAATCTCTTTTTATCTGACAGTCTTTCTCTATCCCTCTTTCATTTTTACAATGTCTCACAAAAAAAAATGGTAGTTAGGAACCACGGATGTACCTATTACGACCGCGACAAACAGGAGCCCTGGACATTACTGGAGCGGCGATTTGCCTGCAGCAGCTCTGGCCACCCTGGCCCTCCAGGTCCATGTGATCACCTAGGAGTCTAGGAGCTGCCAGCAGGGGGACTGTCTGAGCTGTCAGACAGTGTCCCAGGCTGCTAAAAAGCAAAATATATATATACACATACACAGTTGCAAGAAAAAGTATGTGAACCGTTTGGAATGATATGGATTTCTGCACAAATTGGTCATAAAATGTGATCTGATCATCATCTAAGTCACAACAATACACAATCACAGTCTGCTTAAACTAATAACACACAAATAATGAAATGTTGCCATGTTTTTATTGAACACACCATGTAAACATTCACAGTGCAGGTGGGAAAAGTATGTGAACTCTTGGATTTAATAACTGGTTGAACCTATTTGGCAGCAATAACTTCAATCAAACGTTTCCGGTAGTTGCAGATCAGACGTGCACAACGGTCAGGAGTAATTCTTGACCATTCCTCTTTACAGAACTGTTTCAGTTCAGCAATATTCTTGGGATGTCTGGTGTGAATCGCTTTCTTGAGGTCATGCCACAGCATCTCAATCGGGCTGAGGTCAGGACTCTGACTGGGCCAGTTCAGAAGGCGTATTTTCTTCTGTTTAGGTATTCTGTTGTTGATTTACTTCTATGCTTTGGGTCATTGTCCTGTTCCAACACTCATCTTCTGTTGAGCTTCAGCTGGTAGACAGATGACCTTAAGTTCTCCTGCAAAATGTCTTGATAAACTTGGGAATTCATTTTTCCTTTGATAGCACTCCGTCCAGGCCCTGACGCAGCAAAGCAGCCCCAAACCATGATGCCCCACCACCATACTTCACAGTTGGGATGAGGTTTTGATGTTGGTGTGCTGTGCCTTTTTTTCGCCACACATAGTGTTGTGTGTTTCTTCCAAACAACCCAACTTTGGTTTCATCTGTCCACAGAATATGTTGCCAGTACTGCTGTGGAACATCCAGGTGCTCTTGTGCAAACTGTAAACGTGCAGCAATGTTTTGTTTGGACAGCAGTGGCTTCCTCTGTGGTATCCTCCCATGAAATCCATTCTTGTTTAGTGTTTTATGTATTGTAGATTCGCTAACAGGGATGTTGGCATTTGCCAGTGACTTTTGTAAGTCTTTAGCTGACACTCTAGGATTCTTCTTCACCTCATTGAGCAGACTGTGTTGTGCTCTTGCAGTCCTCTTTACAGGACGGCCACTCCTAGGGAGAGTAGCAGCAGTGCTGAACTTTCTCCATTTATAGACAATTTGTCTTACCATGGACTGATGAACAGCAAGGCTTTTGGAGATACTTTTAGAACCCTTTCCAGCTTTATGCAAGTCAACAATTCTTAATCATAGGTCTTCTGAGAGCTCTTTTGTGCAAGGCATCATTCACATCAGGCAATGCTTCTTGTGAAAAGCAAACCCAGAACTGTTGTGTGTTTTTATAGGGCAGGGCAGCTGTAACCAGCACCTCCAATCTCATCTCATTGATTGGACTCCAGTTGGCTGACATCTCACTCCAATTAGCTCTTGGAGATGTCATTAGTCTAGGGGTTCACATACTTTTTCCACCTGCACTGTGAATGTTTACATGGTGTGTTCAATAAAAGCATGGCAACATTTCATTCTTTGTTTGTTATTAGTTTAAGCAGACTGTGATTGTCTATTGTTGTGACTTAGATGATGATCAGATCATTTTATGACCAATTTGTGCAGAAATCCATATCATTCCAAAGGGTTCACATACTTTTTCTTGCAACTGTATGTAAAGTCCTGCTTGATAAGATTTCCAAACAGTGATTTGTATTGGTCCTCGATATATTTGTACAATGTTATTATATCCCCTCTGAGGCACCGTTTTTCCAAACTAAAGAGGTTTACATTTGTTAACTTTTTTTCATAGCTAAAATGTTAAATTACTTTTGTTAATTTTGTAGCCCGCCTCTGCCCCTTTTCTAGTGCCATAACATCCTTCTTTAGAACAGGTGCCGTGTATGTAGTGTGGCAGAAAGTAGGCCAAATATTGCTGAAACCAAATTTGCGTGGCGAATGTAGGCTGAACATATGTAGCATGGCTAAACGTTAGCCAAATGTACTGAACCAAAGTGGTACAAGAAATGAACTAAGACCATGGTGAAAAGGTATCATGGCCAAATGTAGACCAAACACACAAAAGGTACCATGGCCAACTGTAGACCGTGGTTAAAAAAGGTACTATGGCCAAATGTAGCATGGCAGAACGCACTGAAGCACAGTGAATGTATAGCAGTCAAAACTGGTTCTGAGAGCATATACATTAATATCTTGAATATATACATGATATTAGTGAAAGAGAATAGCAAAGAACAGAAAGGAATTTTATCTTGGTAGGCTTAGTGTACATCATTCTTTGCTTATTCTCCTAAAAGGAAAATAGACTCTTCTAATTGGGAGGAGGACCTAAGCTACAAACAGTAAAATGATTGTTACTAAATAATTATACTGCTAAGAAATTCTACTGCTTAGCTTACACTTTTGCCTATTAATCCTTCTATAACCAAAAGCAAGCTTATCTTCAAAATAATCAATAGAACTTGTTACTTTGTTACCTGGTGCCAACCTGCATTATATGTATAATCCTAAAAATGGGGTGCACTCAGAGGATTTTCATTCAATGTGTCAAATTTAATTTACTTCATATAAAAAATACGAAGTCCAGATCAACATTCAACTCCTGAGGGTCTTTCTTAACTTTTGGATGTTTTCATGAAGTAAATTAAACCTGACACACTGGTTGAAAATCCTCTGACTGCACTCCATTTGTTTTTATATATTATCATTAAGGCTCTAAACATGATATTCACCTCAATATAGAATGAGGCCAAAATTAGGCCGAAAGTACTAATATACAGTGAATATGTAGCGTGGCTGAACATACGCCGCATAATCATAGTGAAAATGTAACATAGCTGAATGAAGCCTGACTGTACAATGTTAAAAAGATGAGGGGGGCGGGGCCGGGCCGCCGGGCCGACTGGACGCCATCTGCATGGGCTCCAGCACTAAGTTCATTAAAAAGACACAAAAAGCCATCCCGGACTGCTTTAACGTCGGATACCCTGACACCAAGGAACGGAGAACGGCTCCTGTTCTTCCCCGATGCCAGCACAAAGCTCATCACCTGCAGGGTGAGCAGAGGAGGCTGAACCCGGCCTACACGTGGCCGAGCACCTGACCGCCCACTCCTACTATACACAGCAGGGCGCCACGGAGAAGCACAGCCCTGAGGCTTCCGAGCAGGAGACGCTGGACGAATGAAGCCTCCACATGCAAAGTCATCCCTGGCCCGGGGCACGGCCCCTCTTGGCCAGCGGGGGTCATCCCGGCCTCATGACGGCGGCCCATGCCACAGCGGGACTTCCCAATTGGGGCACACGCCGACCGCCTGCACCGGGAACGGCTGCACAACAAACAGCCGGCCAGCAGCAGTGGACACAGACACGGAGGGGAAAGAGCACTTATGGGGAAACAACCTGACCCCAAATAGGCATAGGCTGCCTGCTGCCTGCGGAAAGGCCTGCTGGCAGCTTGGATGAGACAGTCCTGAGGGAGACACGAGGCAGACCACCTGCATTCAAATGAAGATGCATCCATGCAGCTTAAAACACCCGGATGGCCTCCAACCTGCTGACGGGTCTCCGGGAGGCCATCTCCCCAGGGAGGCAGAGGACCCTACATTTAGGTTAGGAGGGGGTCCAGAGGAGACTTTCCCTGGTGCTGAGAGCCCTGTGAAGCTGAAGAGTGCAGACCCCAGGTATACCGGTGACTGTGAGGTGAGTACCGCATATTTAAGTGTGAGACCGGCGCTGGGAGAGACGTGTGGGTCCTAGTGCTTCATAGTGGGGACTGAGATGCTGGGGAGGTGCAAGAGACTGCGGCCCATGGACTTTTGGTGGGGGGTCCTGTGGGTCGATATGGACTCTGAGTGCCCACGGTGCCAAGGCACACCGCGCTGGGGAGCCGGGCCTGACCCGGGTGGCACAGATGGAGGGCGGAGGACCTAAGGGTCTCACACGGACAGACACCCTTGCCACTGGACACAACACTTACACCTCATACCATATGCCCGTATTGCCTTAACAGCCTAAGTCGGAAATCAGTGTTTCATAGTCATCCATTTAAGTAATTCTTATACATCAGTTTACAAAGGGATGTGCTGTTTATGTTACAATGCCCCTATGGGCTAATGTTTAATGCCATTTATTATTGCTTACTTAATAACCTGACTGCTGCACTATATTATATATTAACATGTTTACACATCAACCTAGAAATGACTACGCTCTTCGAGTTATGTAATGTTCACTGCTTACTTAAAAGTAGAGGGTATATGGTTTACTATCAATGAGCCGCGTTTTTAATTGCTTGGCTTACTCTGTATGCTAAAATGGTTGATAAGCACTCACCACATCCTTTGTGAGTATCGGAGTCTCCAATATGTAATAAGAATATTTACATTCTCGTAGTTTAGCCTAACAACGAACACGCTGGTTCTGCCACAGAGCCCCTATAGGCTAAAACTTAATGTAATTAATTGTTGATTAAAAAATAGTCATAGCTCAACCATCTACTTAAACGTATGCTTGCCCACTGTACTAGACCTCACAATGCTTCATTAATTTGACGGTTATGCTTATGCGCAAGCAATTATGCGCCTTGAGGGGTAATTAATCGAATGTTTGCACTTATCTGGCAGGGAAAGATGATCGCATGTTATTATAGGCTATGTCATCATATAATGCACTAAGATGTGCGCATTTGTTAAGCCACAGCTCAACCACTTACCTGAGCGAATGCATGCTACATGCCCCAGACCTCTCAATGCCCAAATAATTAGACGTATATGTTCCTGCACAGGCAACTAAGCCCCCTATGGGGTAAACTATTGAATGTATGCATTCATCCGGCACGGAAAACCGATCACATATGATTGAAAATCATCCTATTACGCATTATGCAACACATAAAGAAAGCTCTGTATTAGAATACGCATGAAGTGCAAATGGCTGCTCTTATACTGTAAAACCATAACAGGCCTCTGCGTAGGCCCATGTACATTACTCATTTTTTCTCACAATAAGCCTCTGCGCAGGCAACACTGCATTTAAACTTAACCTTGAGATGTTTCTGCCAGCATTTTATGAACAAGATAAAACAAGATAAAAAAAAAAAAAAAAAGATGAGAACCACAGGAGATTGACAAGGACTAATGAACATGAACGGATTCTTCTCCACCAATGCCGGAACACCTTCTTAAGCTCGAAAGCACATGAACCAGAAGTTGAGTGAGGTAATACTAGCAATGATCTTCCAATCATTAACAGATGATCAGGAGGTAGCTGGGAGGGAGGTACATATAGGCCATTCAAAACCCGACCCACAACCCCAGGAAAACTGCCTTTATATTTATGAAAAAGCAGAAAGGAAGGCTTTAATTACTTCATGGTACTTATAAATACCTGTAAGCAAGGTTTTTTACTATTTTCTTTATATATTTTTGACATTGTATAAAATATTGCAATATAAAGGACACTGCTTACTATCTAAAGCTTTTTATTTCCTAAATATTATTTTAAAGGATGAATGAATAAGTGAAAAATCAAAATGGTGTAAATTTACATATTTTTATTTTTTCACATTTGCAAAGTAATATATACACACAATTGCGATGTTATGATATGTTTATATGCCAGCTGTGCATCAATTGCTTCAAATAAATGTTATGTTAATGTTTTTTCAATCACCAAGTGCTAAGTGTTTTCTTAATAATTAAACCTATTATCTTTAATCTTTAATTTCTTCTCTTTTTCCTTTACAGATCCAAGGATTCCTGGCTATGAATATTATTAGCTCGCTGGTCTCTTTTATTTCAGTTTGCTTGTTCATATCTGATGCATGCATTTACTATTACTGCTATGGAAGTTATGAAAAGTGTGATTATGAAAATGTTCTATACGTAAGTAAAGATAGATTAATTTGTCAAACAGAAAAAAGGCATGGGCAGAAATTTATTGTAAAGAATATTTTTAGCAATTCTGTTTCTCTGAAAAAATGTAGTAGGAATAAAAGCTAAAGAAATGTAGGGGGCGTGATGACGTGTTGATGCACATGCCACGAGGAGGGCTTAACTAAGGGAGTGGTGCAGAGAGCAGTCACGTGAACGTGGGCAAAGACTAAAAGATAAGTGCTACAGTGTTACGGTAATACATGGAATAGAGCCAATTGGTAGGGGGAGAAGAAAAAAGAAACCATATATATATTTTTAAAAAGTAACGGTGTATAATCACCCGATATCACCATTTGCATTTCCGCGTGCATATATCTAAAAAATGTTTTGCCCCCCTTTTTTACTGACTGGGCTATTTTCTCTTCTGTGTGTGATTTGGAAACTCTTATAACTTGCTTAGCCTCTCTCTGCCTTGTCTTATATATCTATCTATCTTCCTCACCCTGGGTTTTTTTTTTATAATTACTAAATGCTAAATTTTTATTTTTTTTTACTATTTTGGCCACGTCTGCGAAGTACCACAATGGTTTCTTTAATTTTTTGCTCTAATGCAATTTTCTGTTGCCTTCAGTAGTGCAACTTTTAAATAATCCCATTTCTCTTGGACTCCATTTAAACTGCTCCAGTCTGATAATGACTCTTTTATACACATACTAGTTTTAGAAAACTGGTGGTTACATTTACACTATTTCACGCTCCACTCTTGAGGTTAATAGCTTTTACGGCTCTTTTTCACTTTTCTTCATTGTCAGGATCGACACAGGGATCCAATATGCAGAATGCAAAAGCCGAGGTTGAGGGAGCCAGAAAACAGGTAGGCGAATAAACAAGCTGAGTCAAAGGGAAGGAGAACACAGAATAGTCAAAATCAAAGCCAAGTCAAATACCAAGAAACCACACCAGAATAAGCACTATAGGAACAGACGAGCTAGAACCAAGACAGGGCAATGAATCATTGCAAAAGAGTACTTTTTATAGGTTGGCTCTATAAGTGATGAACACGCCCCCAACATGTCCTAATTCGAACATTTCGGCGGGCCATGATGTCATGACATCGGCACGCATACGCCGTGTCATAAAAAGGGACGGAGCTACCGCGCCCGGTGTCTGAACAGCCGAGATGAGAGGAGGGAATGGAAGGAGTCTCCCCATAATGTGGGAGAAGACCCACAGGCTGGATTCCTGCCAGGACAGTAATCACAGGTACCCTGAGAGTATCCCCCTTTCGAGAAACACTCACCGGGTGGAAGGGGCCTGGAAGGGGAGAAAAGCACACATAAAAAGCCCTGAGAAGACGGTGAGCATGGACATCCCCATGAGCCACCCAGGACCTCTTCTCAGGGACATAACCCCTCCAATCAACGAGGTATTGCATCTTCCCACGGGAAATGGACTTGACTTCATATTCCTCCTGACCCTCAACCAGGATGGAGGAAGAGGAGAAGAGAGAGTGGTATACCTGTTACAGGTCAGAGGCTTTATCAACAAGACATGAAAGGAATTGGGAATGTGCAAGGTAGAGGGAAGAGCAAGCTGATATGCCACAGGATTGATCCTACATAAGACCTTAGAAGGCCCTACGTAGCGAGGAGCAAACTTCATGGAAGGAACCTTCAATAGTATGTGTTTCGTACTCAACCATACCCTATTACCCAGTTGATAAACAGGCATGTTTTTTGAACAGTACAGAACTCTGTTTAAGTATTTGTTGAGTCTGATCCCATCATTTTCTCAGGTTGGCAACGTATACCCTGTGAATGTGATACAGAAGGTAGAACGGTAGCATGAAAACCATAGTTCATGATAAAGGGACTATTTCACATAAAATCACAAACGAGATTGTTATGCGCAAACTCAGCCCATGGAATCAGACCAACCCAATTGTCCTGATGTTTGGAAACAAAACATTATAGATATTGTTCAATCTTTTGATTAGTACGTCCGGCTGCTCTGTTTGATTGAGGATGATAAGCTGATGAGAGATTCAGCGTCATACCCATCTGAGAACAGAAAGCCCTCCAAAAATGTGATGCGAACTGAGAATCCCTATCTGGGACAATTACTGTAGGAATCCTGTGTAAACGAAAAATCTCTTTAGGGGAGGAAGGCAATTTGGGCAGGGGAATAAAATGAGCCATTTTGGTAAATCTATCAATGGTGAGGATTAAAGTTTGTTTGTTAGATAACGGTAAATCGACAATAAAGTCAATAGCTAAACTGAGCCATGTTTTTTTCGGTATGTCCAAAGGTTGAAGCAAACCATACGGAAGAGTATGAGGTTGTTTGTTTTTAGCACATATTTCACAAGCCATGGCATAGTCTCTTATATCCTTACGCAAAGTAGGCCACCAGAATTCATTAGAAACAAGAGAATATGTTTTATGTATGCCAGGGTGTCCGGTTATTTTACTGTCATGAAAACATAGAAGTATCTGCTTTTGGAATACAGCAGGGACATATCTTTTTCCCTCTGGAGTTCGTTCTGGAGCTAGGTATTGCTTCTGCTCGATATTGGTGATAAGAGGGGAATGCACCTTTAGGTTAGTGTTGGCTATAATATTCTGCTTGGGAAAAATAGGGGACAAAGCTGTTTCAGTGAATGCAGAAGGCTCATGTTGACGTGACAAGGCTTCTGCTTTAGAATTTTTTTGATCCAGGCCTGTAAGTATGTAGTTAAATCGAGTAAGGAACAATGATCAATGAGCTTGTCTGGCAGATAATCTCTTTGCCTCTCCTATATAAGACAGGTTTTTATGGTCTGTTAAAATGGTAACCCGATGTAATGTCCCTTCTAACAGATGTCTCCATTCCTTCAATGCCATTATTACTGCCAACAGCTCCCTATCTCCAATGTCATACCTTTACTCCATGTCGGATAATTTATTTGAAAAGAATCCACAAGGTGTATCGGAACGTTGTCATTGAGAGAAAACTGCCCCTATACCTGTTTCAGATGCATCTACTTCAAGTAAAAAAAGTAATGTGGTGTCGGGATGAACCAATATTGGGGCAGAAGCAAATGCTTTCTTAAGGGTTTCAAAAGCAGATAAAGCAGATAAAGCAGAAGATAACCACGTCTTGGTATTAGCCCCTTTCCTAGTCATGTTTGTTATAGGTGCTACTATGGATGAAAACCCTTTAGACCCTTTAAGGATGGCGGGCGTGCTATGCCGTCCTTGGGGACCCGACTCTAAACACTGGGGGGCGGCATAGCATGTTCCCGCCGTCCTTTTTACTTACCCAGTCGCCGGCGATCACGGTGCGGGGACTCACCTGGCGGCCCAGGGAGTCCCCCTCTGTCCGTTCTGGTCCCCCTGAGCCATGTGATCGTGAGGTCGTTGCGAAGACCTCGCGATCACATGGACGACATAGCCGTCCATGGCAGTGCCAGCAGGGGGAGTGCCTGTAATGACAGGTACTCCCCTGCTACCTGGAAAAAAAAAACATTTAAAACTGTTTAAAATTAAATTATATATATATATTTAGGATATATATATATATATATATATATATATATATATATATATATATATATATATATATATATATATATATATATATATAATATAATATGCATATTAATATCAAAATAAATGTAGAATGATATTGATTTTATATATATAAAATAAATAAATATGTAAATATGTAACTACGTAAAAAAAAAATATATGTGTAATTTCGTTCTAACTGTATTTTAAAATTAATTTATTTATATATATATATATATATATATATATATATATATATATATATATATATATATATATATATATATATATATATATAACAAAATACACGTAGAACGCAATAATACCAAAATCTACAATTTGGTATACATACAAGGTGGTCATTAGAGGCTACTTAATAAAAATGGGGAAATGTTTTAGAAAAAATAAAGTTAAAGACCTATCCAATCTACATATATCATTCTTTAATATTTCAAACTTAAATAAACAACACCCTTCTAATCAAAATAAAAAACAGTGGATTGAAGTTCAAAATAAAATAAATATAAAAATAGAAGAAAAAATTAAAATAACTCTCAATAAATTAAGATTAAATAATTATTACTGTGGGGATAGAGCAATTATCAATTTAACAAACTACAAAACCAAAGAACAAAAATAGGATAGATAAATTGATAGACAAATATGAAATATACTCAACCCTTAAGAAAATAGGTGAAGAAATATAATGTTTTTTACCAGAAATTATATAATCTCAGCCTCATTCCGGAGGAGGGTAAAATTAAAAATTATTTAACAAAAAACAGTATTCCCAAGATGTCAAAGATAGATCTTCAAGTACTAAATGCATGTTTTACTACCAATGAAGTAGAGAGAAATAGATAAGTTAGATATGTATAAAACACCTGGTCCAAATGGATTTAGTAATTTTTTATTATAAATTAATGAAAACAGAATTTGTCCGGCCTCTGACTTCCTTGTTTACCGAAATAGTAATTAGATCAAAAACCCCAAACGAGCTATTGCAAGCAAATCTTCTGTCGATACTAAAACTCAATAAATAAAAAATGCAACAGATGTGAGTAATTACAGACCAATCTCACTAATAAATATCGAAATGAAATAAAATGCCTCTATAATAGCATAAATAATCAAATTAGTAATAAAACAATGTGCAACTTGGATAAAATAGATTTTGTACCAGGTAGATCAGCTAGTAATTGTACCAGAAGAATTTTGGATGTTCTGGACCAGTCTATTCATAGAGGGTGGCCCTTGCTGGCCCTGTCCCTGGACATAGAGAAGGCCTTTGAAACGGTCAGTTGGGACTACCTAGATAATGTTTTAAGATCCTTTGGCCTAGAGGAATGGATCCACTGAGCCATAATGGCATTATATTTGGACCCTTCAGCTAGGACTGTGGGAGACAATATATGCACAGGATGATTTGATTTACAGAATGGTACAAGACAGAGGTGTCCCCTGTCTCCTCTGTTGTACATTTTGTCTGTGGAACCATTAGCGATAAATATCAGAGTAAATAAAGAGACAAAGATATACAAATATAATATGCGGACGACATCTTGTTATCAATAACATTGCCAATGTCTTCCCTTCCACAATTAATGCAAGAAATAGACAAATATAGTAAAATATCAAATTACAAATTAAATGTGACAAAAAAATGACTGCATTATCTATAAATATAGATAATGATACTGTTGAATAATTAAGTTAACAATTCAAATTTATATGGACACATAGATAATTAAATTAACTAGGAGTAACGATATCGGCAAAGATAGAAAGGACGGTGGAAGTAAAGGTCTTAAAATTATTAAAATATACAAATAAGACCTTGAAAGAATGGCGGTAAGTAGAGTCTTTATAGCTTGGTAGGATTAATACCATTAACTCATACATAATACCTAAATGATCTTACTTGTTCATGATGCTTCTGTTTAAGATTTCTAAAAGCTGGCTTGATATGATCCAAGCTAGCTTTGTAGCATATATATGGAAAGGCAAAAAACCCAGGATAAGTTCATCGGCTTTAGCGAAAAAATATCAAAAGGGAGGTTTAAGCTACCCGATTATTAAGCATGTATACTACGCTAATATAATTGGTAATATTTACAAATTAAAGTAAACTCAATGTCAACTGAGCCATGGTATATAATTGAATCGGAGGCAGTGAGCATTGAAAGACTGAAATTTATATTATGATGTAATAGTGGTAAAAAAGTAACAGATTTATACATTTACAATTTATAAAAAATCTTCAATACTAGCTCAAATTATCCAGATATGGGAACAAATAAAAAATGCATGGGCTTAAGACAAAAAATTCTAAAGACATGCCGGCTGATATCATTGAAAGAAAATATGAAGGATTTGTACTGGAAAAAAAATGGACTAATATCAATGAAAATACTCCTGCGGATATTACCTGGCAAGACCAAATAGAGCCATTCCCAGGTATTATATTAAAATATCAAATATCAAGTAAAGAATTATTTACATTTTTAAGAATGAAAAATTTCCTAAATGTAGCCTTATTAAAGAGCTCAATATCAGTTCATAAACATATGGAATTGATGTTCTGTCATGAGAAGGTTAAAAAAATTACTTCTGAAGTGAATCAAATGATCGAATTAATAAATGACAGACCATTAAAAATAATAAATACCTGGAACAAAGAGCTAGAACTGGAGATTTCAGACTCTGAATGGTGTACATAAATATGACAATTATATAAAAATATACATTGTTTAAACCTGGTAGAATGTCAATATAAGATTATGTATAAATTGTATTTAGTTCCATCTAGATTATCCAAGATGTATTCTAACTACATCCTAAATTGTTGGAGATGTGATAATCTTGCGGGCACCTTTATCCATATTTGGTTGACATGTGTTTTAGTTAAGCCAATTTGGAGATGGGCATATAATAGTTTTAAAGTTATATCTAACGTAAACCTGAAATGGTGCCCTGAGATAGCACTACCGCATGTGAAATGGTATTTAATATTAAAAAAAAAATTCAAATTTTAGCAATACATTTTTTTTATAGTTACTAAAATTTTGATTGCCAGAAAGTGGAAATCTTATATCCGTTTCCAAAAATAAACACTATATAAACCAAATAAGATAGCAATTCTGTATGGAAAAACAACTGTCTAATTCAATTATACATTCTTACAAAATACTTGAACTATTTGATTTATGACTGGAAAAAAATGTTAAAGTTAAATATATGAATTTCCTTGTTAAACCTGTGAAAAATTCTAAATTACAATATTTATAACTTCTAATAACTAATCAATAGAATAATTCAAAGATTTGGCTAAAAGGATGCTCCTGGTCTGGAAGGTCTGAGATTGTCAATGTTATTTTTTGTTGGTTATTCAAATTTGTGTCTAATAACTTAAAAAATTTGAATCCCAACTTTAATGCCAAAGCTGAATAAGAGTGTGTGTGTGTGTGTGTGTGTGTGTGTGTGTATGCGTAGTATTGATTGGGATAATGTCTTTTAAAATTTTATAAAAGAATAATTGAAAAAGAAATCTAAACAAATGTTGAAAAAAAATGAAAGAAAAAATTCTTTTTTTTACAAATATATCTAGCCAACATAGTTAAAGAAAATATATTAATATAGATACAACTATTTGAATACCTAAAAAGGCAATGATGTGTTCTGTGGCAGTTATGGGTTTTATATAATGATCAGAAAACCATTTCAAAACTAATTATTGCACAAATTTGGTATGGTGGATTAATACCTGTCAAGGAACCCAAAATACAGGTGCCTTATTTTATTTTTTATTTAGAATTTTCAAATTCACATGCAGTTATTTATACAACAATAGAACACTATAAAACAGTGTATAGATGCAAATGTCTAATTAGACAAAATAGCAATTGACAACATTTCCAATTGCACCTCATCTTGTGTAGCTCAGTGCACACAAACATTATGTATTATATACAGGTGATACTCGAAAAATTAGAATATAGTGCAAAAGTTCATTTATTTCAGTAATGCAACGTAAAAGGGGAAACTAATATATGAGACACATTACATGCAGAGCAAGATAGTTCAAGCTGTGATTTGTCATAAGTGCGATAATTATGGCTTACAGCTCATGAAAACCCCAAATCTACAATCTCTGTAAATTAGAATATTACATGCAATCAATAAAACAAGGAGTGTACATAGAACAATATCAGACCTCTGAAAAGTATAAGCATGCATATGAACTTAGTACTTGGTTTGGGCCCCTTTTGCAGCAATTACTGCCTCAATGCGGCGTGGCATGGAAGCTATCAGCCTGTGGCACTGCTGAGGTGTTATGGCTTCAATAGCGGCCTTCAGCTCTTCTGCATTGTTCTATCTCATGTCTCTCATCTTTCTCTTGGCAATGCCCTATAGATTCTCTATGGGGTTCAGGTCAGGTGTGTTTGCTGGCCAATCAAGCACAGTAATCCCACGGTCATTGAACCAGGCTCTGGTGCTTTTGGCGGTATGGGCAGGTGCCATGTCCTGCTGGAAAATGAAGTCCGCATCCCCATAAAGCTCGTCTGCAGAAGGAAGCATGAAGTGCTCCAAAATCTCCTGGTAGACGGCTGCGGTGACCCTGAACCTAATGAAGCACAGTGGACCAACACCAGCAGATGACATGGCTCCCCAAATCAACACAGACTGTGGAAACTTCACACTGGACTTCAAGCATCTTGCAGTGTGTGCCTCTCCATTCTTCCTCCAGACTCTGGGTCCTTGGTTTCTAAATGAGATGCAAAAGTTGCTCTCATCAGAAAAGAGGACTTTGGACCACTGAGCAACAGACCAGGTCTATTTTTCTTTAGCCCAGGTAAGACGCTTCTGACATTGTTTGTTGTTCAGGAGCAGCTTGACAAGAGGAATACGACATCTGAAGCCCATGTCCATGATCCGTCTGTGTGTGGTAGCTCTTGATGCACTCACTCCAGCCTCAGTCCACTCCTTGTGAAAGTCCCCAACACATTTAAATGGCCTTTTCCTGACAATCCTCTCCAGGCTGTGGTCATCCCTGCTGCGTGTGCACCTTTTTCTTCCACACTTTTCCCTTCCACATAACGTTCTATTAATGTGCTTTGATACAGCACTTTGGGAACATCCAACTTCCTTCGCAATTACCTTTTTGAGGCTTTCCCTCCTTATGGAGGGTGTCAATGATGGTTTTCTGCACAACTGTCAGGTCAGCAGTCTTCCCCATGATTGTGATTCCTACTGAACCAAACTGAGAGACCATTTAAAGACTCAGAAACCCTTTGCAGGTGTTATGGCTTTCTTAGCTGATTAGAGTGGGACACTGTGAGCCTAGAATATTGCACCTTTTTACAATATTCTAATTTTCTGAGATTGTGGATTTGTGGTTTTCATGAGCTGTAAGCCATAATCATCTCACTTATGACAAATCAAGGCTTGAACTATCTTGCTTTGCATGTAATGCGTCTATCTCATATATTAGTTTCCCCTTTTTCGTTACATTACTGAAATAAATGAACTTTTGCACAATATTCTAATTTTGTGAGTATCACCTGTATACCTTTATACCATGTTTGTGACATTCTAGACATACTTCAATTATGGGCACAGATAGTAGAAAAAATATAAAAGACGGTGAGAGCACTCTAAAGCATGCAATTTAAATTATTACCAGATTAATCTTGAGTTCAACTCTAAAAACAACAAGATAAAAGGAACATAGAGTAATATTGACAGATTACAAATATTGTTAGTAAAATACTGGAAAAACTCACATGTTACTGAGTCACTTAAAAAGCTGACTCAGACCAAAAGCTTGTAGTGGAGATGAATACTCCTTTGAACTGGACGTCCTTTGGATGAATTTCTTCTGGATGTTAATATAATAATTATTCCAGGATACAATTCCAAAGTAAAACTAATTTATTGATTAAAACAAAAGTTTTTTAAAACAAACATGAAATAAAATTGTCCATATGCAGTTACCACGACGCGTTTCGGCAAAATAGCCTTTCTCAAGTGGTTTGTATTCATCTCCATGATTGCAGCTTTTAAATTCCAAAGTTTGGCGCCCTTTCTCACTGTTTCCGGTTTTCTTTACTTCCGTTTTCGTCATCGGTAATCGTCCGACGTGTCCCACACGTCATGGCGTCATCTTTCGTCGTCCGACGTGTCCCACACGTCATGACGTCATTTCGGCACCCCGGACCGGAAGTATTGCGGGCGCCATTTTTAAAAGTCCTTTTAATACTTATTTTGCCAGATCTTTCTCAAATAATGAGCAATTAAAACATAATAGAGTTATATATATAAAATTTTAGTATAAACCTTCTCCAAATAAAAGGGGAAACATATATATTATTAAACAAGAGGAAATGTCATATACAATATATGCAATATAAGATCCAAACAGATATATAATAAAATAGATATTAAAATAACAATAGTTATAATAATAATAAATTTGGATAATTAAAATATATTTATATATAGGAATTGACCTCAAAATCTATATTTAGACCACATGGGGACAAAGTTTGCATATTGAAAATCCATTTCATTTCGGTTTTGTTCAGGAGATTTTCTATATCTCCTCCCCTCCAATGTGTTTTAACTCCTTCTATACCCATAAAGTCAAAACCTTGTATGGATTTTCAATATGCAAACTTTGTCCCCATGTGGTCTAAATATAGATTTTGAGGTCAATTCCTATATATAAATATATTTTAATTATCCAAATTTATTATTATTATTATAACTATTGTTATTTTAATATCTATTTTATTATATATCTGTTTGGATCTTATATTGCATATATTGTATATGACATTTCCTCTTGTTTAATAATATATATGTTTCCCCTTTTATTTGGAGAAGGTTTATACTAAAATTTTATATATATAACTCTATTATGTTTTAATTGCTCATTATTTGAGAAAGATCTGGCAAAATAAGTATTAAAAGGACTTTTAAAAATGGCGCCCGCAATACTTCCGGTCCGGGGTGCCGAAATGACGTCATGACGTGTGGGACACGTCGGACGACGAAAGATGACGCCATGACGTGTGGGACACGTCGGACGATTACCGATGACGAAAACGGAAGTAAAGAAAACCGGAAACAGTGAGAAAGGGCGCCAAACTTTGGAATTTAAAAGCTGCAATCATGGAGATGAATACAAACCACTTGAGAAAGGCTATTTTGCCGAAACGCGTCGTGGTAACTGCATATGGACAATTTTATTTCATGTTTGTTTTAAAAAACTTTTGTTTTAATCAATAAATTAGTTTTACTTTGGAATTGTATCCTGGAATAATTATTATATTAACATCCAGAAGAAATTCATCCAAAGGACGTCCAGTTCAAAGGAGTATTCATCTCCACTACAAGCTTTTAGTCTGAGTCAGCTTTTTAAGTGACTCAGTAACATGTGAGTTTTTCCAGTATTTTACTAACAATATTTGTAATCTGTCAATATTACTCTATGTTCCTTTTATCTTGTTGTTTTTAGAGTTGAACTCAAGATTAATCTGGTAATAATTTAAATTGCATGCTTTAGAGTGCTCTCACCGTTTTTTATATTTTTTGTACACTTTATTTGTGTGGTTGAGTGATTCACACTAGGTGATAGTAGCACCACTCTGTACTGTTTTTTCCCAAAATTCTTATATTCACAGATAGTAGACCTTATCTTAAGCATGTTGGGTTTTCGTTAAGTATGACTCCCAAGTTTTCCAAGCTTCCCTACAACATTTTTGTGGTTTCCCCATTTTACCAGCTGCAATTTCAGATATTTTCATGCGTTCCAGGTTATTTATGTAGGATTTTGCAGTTAAAGTAGATTCAGTCCAATAATTCCTGCTTTTTACAGTTAATGCGACTATAATTTTGCTAAACATTAAATATTTAATATATTTCTTTATTTTTATATGAAAAATATGTAGCAAGTAAATTTAAACTGGAGCTGTGCTCATGTACAAGAAAATATTATTTCAGCTATATTCCCCCAGTATGCTTCTAATTTAGGGCAATACCACCATATATGTAACATGGTGCCAGCATGTTTAAGACAACTCCACAAATTATCTGAACTAATAGGTTTCCCGCAGGCAAGACGTACTGGAACCATGTACCAACTGTACAGTATTTTCCTAATGAGTTCAATGTGCATAACACATAATGTAAGAGGCTTGTGGTCTTTAAGTATTTTTCCCCAGCTGTCTTCAGTAAATGTTATGCTAAATTTAATTTTCCAGGCCTGTGTGAATGATCGCTTTTTGCAGTTCATGTGTATAGATTCAGATTAATACATTGCAGTTTTTAAAAATTCATCATCTTTTGCTCATTTACAATAAAGACATTTCTTAGAAAATATTTTTATAGCAAAGATCTACAAAAATATAATGAATATAATAATACTGGGCTGCATTTGCTATACCATGTTTCATTTTTAAAATATCAAAATGTAATACAAAATTTCCCTGTGCCAATTGGTAAAGGGACCGAACCCCAAACCTATGAATAGTTTATAAATTGAAATCAAGAAATATATTTTCAAGAGCTGCTATAGGTAGAGCAGGTGAAATTGGTACACTCATATTGCTATGAGCATCAACAATTTGTTTAGTCAAAATGGTTGTGGGAAGAATATTTGGAAATGTGGGCTTCAATGTCCCTGGCAGCCATGCCAACGAAGCTACATTATGTGTCTCAGTGAAACCAGTTTCTATTTCTACCCATTGTGGTGGGGATTAGTTGGGTGCTTGTAATTATAAGTGAACTTAATAAAGATACTTTAAAAGGTGGCCTCTTTGTTTAGGATTAATCTTTTGTCATGATATATCTGAGAATCTACCATGTTTCTATTTTATCTCTAACGTTTGTTTTTTTCTCTTCTTCAGAGCAATAAAATTGCAGTGCTGTCCTTTTTGATCATTGCCTCTCTCCTGCAATTCTGTGTGTGCGTGTCTCTATCTGCCTTTGGATGTAAATCTCTGAGCCATACCTCCACCGCTCCAGCTCAGGTAAGAGGCAGATAATCATTAATTGCAAGGTTGATGAAACATATTATTTTGAAAATAAGCAGGCTTAATTCTATCATTTTGCAGGTTAATTCTTTGCAAGATCTGAGATATCATTGGCATGAAGTGTTTCATATGACCGCTAGATTATATGTGGGTTCATATTTATCTCACTTTCATGTTGCTGTGATGAAAGTGGTAATGTGCAAGGGCAGAGGCAGCAACTGCGACACCGGCTGCACCAATGCCTGCACACTAAGGGGGAACATCAGATGGCCCATGCACTTAAGGCCACCTGGTAGACATGTGTCAGCAGGGGCCCAGTCATGTGCTATGGCCCTTTAACAGCACGACCAGGCCCCCTTAAATATTGGCAGCCTAGGAGGGACTGAGGTTCCCTATCACTTTCTCCTAGCTAACACAGCCATGCAGGAGGGAAGGAGAAGGCAGAAAGTAAGGGGCATGAACCGCAAGAGCAAGCCTCTTACTCCCAACAGCCTCAGCCAATAGATTGGACCCCAGGGTAGCCATCATCCTGCACCTAAAAGGTAGGAAATTGGAGTTGGGTGGCTATAAAAGTGTAAATTTTGACCAGAATGTGTGTCAGTGAATGTGTCTGAACGTATATCTGTGCATCTGTATGCGTATCAGTTTGTATGTGTGTCTGTATGTGTTTCTGTATGTGTAACTATGTTGTCAGTATGTGTTTCTGTGTATTTACATGTGTGTCAGTGTGTTTATCTGTGTATCTGTATGTGTTTCAATATGTGTATCTGTGTGCCTGTAGTGTGTCAGTGTGTGTCTATGTATCTCTGTGTCACTGTGTGTGTCAGTGTATCTGTATCTGTATTTGTATGTGTGGCAATGTATTCTGTATGTTGTTAGTATGTGTATATGCATGTGTCAGGGTGTGTCTGTGTACCTGTATGTGTGTCAATGTATATATGTATGTTGCCAGTATGCATATCTGTGTGTCTGTGTATCTGTACCTGTGTCAGTGTATGTATCTTTGTGTGTGTGTGTATGTTTATGTGTGTCAGTGTGTGTATCTCTATATCTGTCAATGTGTGCATCTGTGTGTCTGTATATCTGCATGTGTGTGTCAGTGTGTGAATCTGTGTATCTGCATGTGTGTCTGTATCTGCATGTGTGTTAGTTTTTGTATCTATGTATCTGCATGTGTATCGGCAAGTGTGTCAGTGTGTGTATTTGTGTGTCAGTTTGCATGTTTGTCTGTGCATGTATCTGTGTGTCTGTATATCTACATGTGTATCAGTGTGTGTATCTGCATGTGTGACTGTATATGTGTGTGTCAGTATGTTAATCTGTATGCTATAAGTTTGTATTTCTGTCAGTGTGTGTATATGTGTGTATGTCTCTGTACGTGTCAATGTGTGTCTGTCAGTGTGTGTGTATCTGTGTGTCTGTATATCTGCATGTATGTGTCAGTTTGCGTATCTGTGGAAGTGGATACAAAATGCCCAGGCACACCAGGTGGTTTCTTCTAAAAGGCAGTCTTTATTTGGAACCAAGAAATAAGAACAACTAGTCTTGACAAAGACTTATACAGGTGCCGAAACTTTGTTCTTATTTCTATTGAACAAATTATAAAGAGTCCAAAACCTGAGCATAGAACCACCCGCAGTTATGTCTAGAAAATTATAAGGGGACTGGATCCTAAACACAATGGCCTTAAAAAATACAGTATTAAGGAACTACATATAAGTCTTCATTAACCCGTTTTTAAATGTGTTCTACATGAATGGATTTGCAAAATAGGATTATCCTTCATTATCATTTGTTGTACATAATGTTATAATATCTCTCCACAAATAAAAAGATATCTCTGTTATGACCAAAGTTTACAATCTGTAAAAAAGAAGAATCTACTGCAACAGTAGACTAAGGCAGACTATAGATACAAAGGCCCAAAATGTAACGGAAAAAACTATATATATAATTTTTTTTTTTTTTATAATAAGATCTAACATAAATACAGCGAGCTGATACTGTACACCTCAAATTTGTTTTTCATCTAAAAAGATAGAAAGCTTTGAGATAAAACTCCTCCTTATAAAAGGGAAAAAGCAAGAAACAGGCAAACCCCATAAATGAATGTGATGAAATTAAAAAGATAAGACATACAGTATCAATAACAAATATGAGCACCAAACATGAAGCATAATTTACACTGAAATTTGCATTCCTATTATGAAGTTGTTACTGATAAGCATTCAGTTATGGTTATTATCCCAATCAGAATGACTAAATCAAAAAAATGAAAACTAAAGGAACAAGAACATTCTTCCAGATAATGCATAAACTACCTCAATACAATGAAACCAAAGAAGAAAAGAAAACCTCAAAGCCATAACTTCAGAAGCAAACATAACAATCAGAAAACAACCCTGTTTATATTCCTAAATATTTGCAGGCTCGATAAGTATCCTTAATTACATCCTTTTAATTTCTAAAAACATGACTGGTATCCCATTAAACATGGAGTCCCTGTGGAAACCTAGTTTTCAGAGTAGGGATCCAAAACATTTCATTTCTAAGAATGACCTTTTCATAATAAGTGAATACAAATACACAAAAACAAGTCCTGAGCTCAAACTCCCACTACTGTTGGGTGTCAGCAACGACCATAGTACACTTCAGCCCCAATACATACAGTAAAAGCAAAGTTACCTGAGCTCTTCCCAAACCCTCTTGCATATTAAAGCAAACGGTGGTTATTTAATAACACCAATGGCCATTAGAGGGATGCTCACCTGCCACATCAAGGCAAACCTCTTAGGTGGGTCCTACACTGACTGTTCACCTTGCTTCCTTGAGCTTCAGGCAAATATTTCTCTAATGAGATAGAGTACACGAGGACTGATGTTCTAGTATTTTGCCATATGTATTTTCTTTATTGACTATTATTTCTTCCTGATGTTTTTTGGGGTATTTCATATGAGTGCAGATCAACAAACTTATACTGTGTGAAGTAACATTTACAAATTACCCTTGTTACACCCTTCTGACTGTCTATCAGAAAACTAGTCCTGTTACTTCCCGATTGGTAAACTCAAGAGGCAGGCAATTGCTCAGAGCACATGCCTTGCAAAGACTTCTCAGTGAGTTGCATATGTAAATCTGTGATTGGACAATAACAGAAAGTCTGTGCTGGAGAAAAAGAGGAGGGGTTGCAAAGGCTGCAGACAGAGATCTGCAGCATTAGCAAGCTATTTTAAGATATACACCCAGTGAAAAAAATGCAACAATAAATGTATGCATGTTTTCATTTGGCTATACCTACTAAACTGTTAAATAGTTTTTCCACGGGAGTGTTACCTTAAGATCTGTCATAAAATGTTACTCGCTTCAACTTCTGTGATTCTGAGCTTTCTATTGGTATATTTATAGGATACATGGATCTCTGTTCCACAGATGATCATTACTAAAGAATTGATATGTAATATAGGTAGTTTACGTTTGATTCCCATTTGCTATTAGCCAGATTGTGTTAAACCAGATACGTGTAAATCATGGAAGTTGGAGCTCAGAAACAAATGGAAAGCTTACCCCTGATACAGGAAAACAGAGCACAGATGTTCAAGGACTTCCGTTTTTGCTCAATTTGTTTCCCTTTTGGTATCCCTGAAATTCTAATTTACTTCAAGTAAAAAATTACAACTCAAATTACAAAACTAGTTAATTTATACACTAAAAGGTATATATCGATAGGTATGTAAAACTCCTAATTAAATAATCATCATGGAGACTGACCACTGAATTCTGAATAGATAATGTTTGCCTTCCCAAAATGTAATATATGCTATAACTCAACATATAGAAAAATATGATTTTTTTTTAACACTGTATTCTGTCTCCCCATATCAGGTGTTCGTGATACAAAATGATGCTAGATTTCATGGGCCAAACTTTATTCCTACTGTTGGCAACCAATATGAAGCACCTCCAGGCTATACTAATATGACAAATACTGGTTTAGGAATTCCTGTGGATTTGGGACATACACCTGTTACTACAAAACATTGACCATCTCATAACCAAAGCAGTGGGCGCAAACATATACTTTTCTGAATCTTCCCAATATGCAATATAATCCTAATCCTGAAAATGCATTACTTTAATTTGTGTTTCCTAAGAAAAACTGTAATTAATTGATAGTGAAAATTCTAAATGATGCTTGAGTAACTGAAGATGATTCTTAGCTTCACTAAAGGAGATTATTCACTAAACTCTGAGGAGTAGTACTTAGAAAGCCAAATGGCAACACCTAGGCTAAAACGCATGATCTGGAAATTGTCCTCAACTCAGCTATAGATGCTACCTGATACTTTTAGCGTAATTTCACTATCATTTGGAGTTTAGAGTATAGACCACTATGGTTTATGAATATCATAAACATATATTCAAATATTTATGGTAAAAAGGCAAATGGCAAATCTCTTCAATGGAACCAAGTATTCCAATGGAGACAATTTTGGGGTCTAAAAAATGCCTACTTTTGTTATAATCAGTGGCTTCAGCGTTTATGTATAACGGTATGATGTTAATGAACTCTTTGTATTGTATTTTATTGTGTAATTTGACATGGATTCTAACTGATTTATGATGCCATCAACTGCATACTGCAGTCTCAATGTGACTGAGCCATCAATTAGCACTCATTTTTACTTTTCTGGCTGTGTATGTGCATTATATGTAATATCTCTGTGAGTAAAGATGACAATAGTTGCAATTTGTGATGACATTAAAAAATTAATACTTTTTAAGTGTGGTCACTAATTTCTTTTTTCTTGTTTTTACCAAAATATATATTTTTTAAAGTAAATACTTACAGAGCCAAATTAAACGATTTGCAAGTTTATTTTCTCCTTTGGTTTATTTACTCTAATATGAGGTAAATAAATTACTACTCAAAATTTCTTAACTGGAAATAAAACTTGATGTATATTTGATATGTTTTGGGCCTCATAGTTCTACTGTATGTTAATCTTGTTGAGAGAAAAAGAAAACCATTTTGCAACATAAGCCTGCCCTCTTAGCCATGCACCCGATTCTACGCATTTTATTCCTGGTTGGCTTCATCCAAGACCAGTCTTAAGCTTTAAAATGTTCGGTCTGAAATGTAGTATTGAAAAGATAATGGATACTGCACTCTCCATGCTTCCAGGGTGCTCAGGATCTGAGGACAGTCAGGTCTCACTTCCAGATATAGAAAATAAATATTCATAGAGACACTCAAGGATAAAAACCAAAATAGCTTGACAAAGATCCTGCTGGGTCGAAATGTTGCTGTTGTTTAGCTCTAAATAAAGCTGCTATTTTGTTTTTAATCTTTAAGTTTTTTAAATTTAGAATTGACACACAGCTCTAAATATTTTTTTTATGTGTGTGTGTGTTAAGTATTGATTTATTTATTTTTTATAAGGTTTTTTATTTGACATATGCGAATCATGACAGACATTGGTAATTTGCACAATAGGTTAAACATTGTAGGTATACAGAAAGGAAAAATATATTATTAATGTATTACACAATACATTTTCGAACTCCGCCTGAATTGTAATACATGCAAGGTTATCCTCGAGCAGGATGATCTGTGCTGTCATCTGGAATTGTTGTAAAGAGTGATCTTACTAGCCATATACCATCAGTCACTCTGTTCAGAGATTTGTATACCACATACTTAGTCTGTCTAACTCAAGCTAAACTGGTACAAGATGGGGGTGGATTGGAGTGTGCCAAGAGGGGATTGCTGGGGGTTGGAATTTGGATCCAGTAGGGGTGCTTGGAATGTAATCTGGTTGGCTATTTCCACTACTTTCAGGATAATAGCGCTCCAGGATCTTAAACAATGTGGTTGGTTTGTAAGTATAGCATCCATATCAGCCATATCGAGGAATACATTGAGTATTTATTCATTAAGGAGTGGGTAAGTACCTCCGTCAGTCAAATCGACTCAACCCTGCCAATCTATTCCCTCATGGAGGGAGCCAATGTGCCCTTTCATTTTGTGGGAACGAACAGATTAGCTGTTGTGAGGAGATGATGTAAACGTTTGTGCTGATGTTTGACAGTGGGTTGTGAAGCTCGAGGAAAAGGTACACTTCAGGTGCAAGTGGGATTTCCAATCCAGTGCGGATCAGTGCTCCTACCCATCCCCAGAACCTTTGTATGATTGTGCAGGTCCACAAAATGTGACCCGGCGTCCCTCCATCTGCTTCACGCCTCCAGCATGTGTTTGCAGAGGTGGGAAACAAATGATGGAACCGTGATGGTGTGTAGTGCCATAATGATATAGGTTTGTAATGACCTTCATGCACCTGGTTATGGAGGATCTATATGTTGTTGAGAAGACTGGTCACCCATTCAGTGTTAGTTATGGAAATGTTTAATTCCTCTGCCCACTTTTTGCAAAATTTGGGAACGGTAGAGCAGTCATCTGTTTGATTACGGATAGAGGCCCATATTTTGAGAGTCGAGTTTATGGTGGGGTGTGTTTTGTGAGAGGATTTGATGGAGAGGTGCATGTCCTTTAGCCACGGAATAGTGTAAATTGGGGAGTGGAATGAATCGGCTTCCAATTGCAACCACTGTTTGGTGTTTCTTGGATTTGACCATTCATAGATTCTGGCGGGGATCACCGCCCTATGGTAAAGTTCTGAGTTAGGCAATCCCAATCTGCCCCTGTGTTTATGTTGTGTTAGGATGTTATATGCTTGTCTGGGATAGTGTTGTGAGTAGATGTATGTGGAGAAAGGTTTTCTAACATCTGTAAAGGACGACTTTGGTAGAAAGATCGGGAGGGTCTGCAACAAATATAGGATTTTAGGGACAGTATTAATTTTAAGTATGTGTATTCTACATAACCAGCTAGATTGGGGTTTATGCCATCGTATGAGATCCTTAGTTATGTTTTGTAGGAGAGGTAGATAATTTAGGTCATAGATGGACTGTAATTTGCATGGTAGGTGGACCGCTAAATATTTGAGTGCTGTGTCTATCCAGGTGAATTGGAATTGTGTTTTGAGAGAGGAAGTGGTGTGGTCTGTGAGGTGTATGGGCATTATTTCACTATTTGTGTAGTTGACTTTAAAGTTGAAAACGTGGTGGTAAGATGTGATTACGTCCAGTAATGGAACCATAGACTTTCAGGGGTTAGTTATTGTAAAGAGCAAATCATCCGCAAAGGCTACTTTATATTCCTGTTGTTGTATCTTAATACCTGTTATATTGGGGTTATCTCTTATGCCCTGGAGGAATGGTTCCAGAATGAGTATGAAGAGCAGTGGAGAGAGGGGGCACCCCTGTGTTGTGCCATCGCGGATGTGTACCGGGTCAGATAATTGGCCATTGATTTTAAGTCTTGTGCTTGGTCTCGAGTAGATAGTCATTATCCACTCGAGCCAATTAGGGCCAAATCCTATTGCTCTGAGAGTTGCCAGCAGCAAGGACCAGTCCACCCTGTCAAGTGCTTTTTCAGCGCTGACTGATATTAATAGGCACTCCAGAGATCTGGCATTGGCGATATGGATAAGGTTTTTTATTTGGTGCTATTGTTTTTTGCCTCTCTTTCGGGCACAAAGTCCGTCTGATCTGGATGTACCAGCCCCTGTAGGAGGAGTCTGAGTCTGTTTGCAAGTATCTTTGTGAATATTTTAAGTCTATACTAATTAATGAAATGAGGCGGTAGCTCCCACAATTTATTGGGTCTTTACCTGGTTTGGGCAATAAGGTGATGTGTGCTTCCAACGTAGCATCTGGAATGGTGGCTCATTTAGAGATTGGGTTGAATGCATTTAAAAAGGGTTGTTTAGGGAACTTCCGGGACTACTAGAAGGTCGCATGGTGGGCTAGCTCAGTGGCAGTTCAAGTCAAAAACAACTACAGAAAGTGACTTACCGTACGAAAAGCGATCCCCTGGGCAGCTCAGCACCCATAATGACACCACCAAACACCCCCAGAATGCAAGATTTTTTTAAGGGGGGAAGAAAGACAAACCACGGCCTACCCATGATGGTGGCGGCACAGCCTCACCGTCATGGCTATCTGATGCAGGGTCAGAAGCAGAACATACAGGTGGCTTGGATGAATGGCCGGTGTTGGAAAACAGGCTAGCAGACATGCTGCACCAACTATGTTCCTTTCTTTTTTTTTCATTTCTTTATTTATTCCAAAACAAACAGCAATGCTACATGTATTTCCAATCATTTGGTTCAGTACAAAAGCAGATGTTAACAATTGTTTAATCCCTTATTACATTTATATCTGACCATATATATATATATATATATATATATATATATATATATATGTATTTTAATAGTATCAATCTCAGGGGGGACCGGATAGTGTGTAGCTATGCCAGGGCTCCCACAGTTTGTCAAATTTGGAAGTGGCCCCTCTCAAACTTGCCGTCAGGCTGTCCATTAAGTGTACCTCCTTTATGTTGCCTATCACTCTGTATGGGGGGCATGTCCGCCTGTAACTATGTTTGTGCCACCATTCTCCTCGCGGCTAGTGTAATCTTACGAATCAGTTTTTGTTCCCCCCTGGTCCAGTCGTCTATGGGTCTATTTAAAAGGTATGTCCATGGGTTTAGGACGGCAGCTCTGTGGAAGATTTTTTTTATTAGTTTGTGTATTTTTGTCCAGAAAGCTTGAACTTTGGGACACTCCCACCACATGTGTAAATATGTGCCTCTGTGTCCGCAACCCCTCCAACAGTCGTCCATAGGTGTTTGTCGCATCCGATATAGGTTGGCCGGTGTAGTGTACCACCTAAACATCGTTTTGTAAGATTGCTCCTGTAGAGTCACACAAATGGACACAGGGTGGTTTGCCTCCCATATGTCCCTCCATTCCTCCCCCTCAAGTACCTCGCCTAGGTCTCTCTCCCACGCTTCCGTGTATGTCAGTGATCCCCACTCGTTTCCAAACACAGATGTGTTTATAGCGTGGTTATTAAACCCTTTCGAGTGGATTCGTCAACGCACATTTTTTTGAAAAAGGTCAAAGGACCTTTTGCCGCCTTTTGTACGAGTGTCTACTGGACAAAGTCCCGTATCTGTATGTACCTGAAAAAGTCTGTGGGAGTGAGATGTGTTGTCTGTTGGAGTTGGTCGAAGGGGACTAGTTTCTTATGTTCGTACATGTGACAAATCCTCTGTAACCTCGCTTTTTCCAAGTTTGCAAATTCCCTGGCTGCTATATCTGGTGGGAATGCCCTATTTCTCAGTATGGGAGTTAAGGGGGACAGAGTTGATGTCAATTTGTACTTATGTGCATTAGCGTCCCAAATTCTCACGGAATTTAATATAGTTGGGCAATTCGTCCTTAAGATTGGCCTGTCTTCCCTGCGTAACCACATATGATACTGTGGCAAGTCAGCCCCCATCATAAGGGACTCTAGGTCAACCCATCTCCTCACCTCTAGAGGAGTGTGCCACATCGCGACCTGTGCCAGCTGCGCATCTAGGTAATAGAAGTAGAGGTGTGGCAGGCCCAACCCTCCCCTTTGTTTCTGTCAACATGTTCCTGGAGATTCAGTGGCGACGATTTTGCCATATGAAATCACTTATTGCTTTTTGTAGGTGGGCCAAGTCAGATTTCATCAGTTTCATGGGTAGTGCTTGGAAGAGGAACAGAATTCTTGGTAAAATGTTCATTTTTATAGCGTGAATACGCCCAATCCATGATAATGGTTTGTCCTGCCATTCTTCCATGTCTTGCATTAATGTCCGAATT